ACGAGTGAATTTAACAAAAATACATGCCGTCTCAAGTCACCTACACTTGTCTCAAGTCACCCACATTTACAGTACAAAGGATTTGCTGCTGTAGCTAATATAAGGACGTGATAGCAAAATATGCTGTTACAGATCGATTTATTTAGCAATATGAAGTTAGTTGTCACAGGTATCGGATATGTCGGTGTAAAAGAAAATTGTCTCTATCACAGTTAAATATGGTTTGCTGAAACTTGCTACCAAATTGTCTGTTACACAGAAAACATTTGCTGCAATGATCAATACATCGACATAATAGCAAAATGCTTGTCTGTTACAATGATAATATTTAGACCTCACAGCTAATGGAAATCTTGCAGATACGACGTTAGGTGTCCATATAATGCTACTGAATGTAGCTGCCATATCTAATTCTTAGCTGTGGCAGCTAATCTTTTTTTTCCGTGTACGAAATGGTAAGAAATGTGTCACTTTTATGTGAACAGCTGGGCGGATAGTCGAGGCGCGCTGATACGAACCGCCCGCGCCGTAATGAAATACAATACACCGCTGATATATTGTATTTGTTCAATTTTCTGAAAAGACGTAAGAGATTGCAAGGTCTCGGTACCGCGAAATCTCAGGTCGCACCGACGTGTCGACGGCCGAGAGAGGATCGTTCGTGACGGGCGACACGCGCCGATGCGCCCGCGTTCGCGCGCGCGCATCCTCCTCCTCCTCTTCGTGGAATCGCGAGCGCGTGTTGCTAGGAAATTAGATCGTGAATTGCGGACGGTTGCATTTCGGCGTTCGGATACATCCGACGAGCGATTATCAGCGAACGATAGACCCCCGCGTGTCTAAACACTGGATATGCATGAGAAAAGCAGCGGAAAAAAAGCGAAAGACGGACGCAGCAAGATTCCTCAAGTGAGATTTGCGGTTCAATGCTGAAGCGACCTATGTCCATTTCTGCGGATGCAGATTAACTTTAATCCCGGTTTAATTTACTCTCTTTTTTTAATGGTTAGAACTAAAAAAGGATAAGAAGTAAGTTACACCGAGACTAAAGTTAATCTACACTGATAGAAACGGACACTAATAGGACCTAAAATTGAAGAAAAATTTTCATAAATTAATTTTCAAAATATATTGCGAAACATTGAACATGAGAAGAACGATTTCGCTGAAGTATTTAAAAATTTAGCTAGACACAGCGCTGAAAATATAATTTTGTTGGACCATCAAAATAATTATGTAGGACGTTCAAAATGGTTGCTACGCTTAGAGAAAAAGACAGTGGTGAAAGTTATAAAGGTCATAATTATGCAAGTGTTATATGTAGAATTTATGTACGTACACACATATATATATATTCGTATATATTGTTGAATAAACTATTTTATAGTTATTGCAATTATAAAATAGTTTATTCAACTCTGTACATTTATAAACTTGTACGTGTGTTGTTACCTTTATATAATTGCTACCACTAGTACGTCTTTTTCTTGATATATATTATAATAATCAATTTAAGCATCCATAATTATTTTGTTATTTTAACATAATTACTAACACAATTATTTTTACAGTCCAACAAAATTATTTTCAGGTCTACGTATTTAACTGTATCGTCACTACGTTTTTTCTCTAAGAATGTCAAAACTTCTGGCAACACTGCTTATCATACTTGAATTTTTTACATAATTATTTTGATGGTCCAATAAAATTATTTTCAAATCTGTATATCTATCTAAATCTTTAGATACTTCAGCAAACTCGTTCTTTTCAGACAAAATCTAAAAAGCGGACTTTCTGATTCAACGGTACTTTAATACGAGAGTTAAGAGATTAGTTACGAGATTTAGTATCGGCGAGATAGCATGTTTAAGAAGTGAACAAGTCGCAAAAAATAATGATCTCCCCTCAATATTTTTGTTCGGAGAAAATTCTCTTTGAAACTCATAAGGAATGATATTACGTATGTCTACTCTTTCTGCCAATTCTAGGGCGCTCTGTATGGATCTGTTCCTTTTAGCTGCGCTCTGTACAATTTCCTGCAAATTTGATCCTTTCCTCTTTCTCTCACAAAGTCTGAACACGTACAGGTTTTTGTTTTGTGTACAAAAAGCACGGCAGAGTAAAGTTAAAAAGAGTCATATCAAGCGTGAAGGGAATCAATGTTGACGAAGAAAGCAGCGTGAGAGAAAAGAAGATACAACGGGAGACAAAGAGACAAATCAATTCGTGAAAAAAACATTACAGATTACCATCGATTAAAGAGGATTTAATAAAAAAATCTAATCTCATAGTCTGACGAGTATACGCGAATACGCAATCTCAAGGACCGAAATGCAAATCCTCCACGCCAAACATTTTCATATTTTAATTATTTATACGCTCTTACACGCGCGTTGGAGTTTGTAAGGTTCGACATGTGACTGCTGGCAAGGCCCGTGTGCATGCCAATAACTTGCCGCAATTTACAACTCATGAATGAAGTAATAAAAATAGCAGAGTCGCAGAAACGGATTACATTTGCCGCAATAACACGACGCGTTGTCGAAGCGTCGCGACGCGCGTCTTTAGTCGAAGGCTGGCAAATAGAGGCGAAACAATAAAGGAGGATTTGTCAGAAGCGCTGTTCGGCAAAAAAATACGTCTATTGTGTATTCGCGTATATACAGCATACAGATTCTTTTTTATAACAGTTATGATACGGAAGATGGTACGCGTTGAATACACACACACACGCACACACACGCACACACACATACATACAGACAGACGTTAATTCAATAAATCTTTACTTAAGATATAAATTATTCCTAAACTATTGATACTGTACTTTTTACTACTGAGAAATTAATCCGACACCGGCGGAGCGTCTCACAATTATAAAAGATAGTAAGTAATGATAAATTATGCGTACAACATCCGTGCTATTTGAATATCCAATCCAACAAAGACCCCAACAACGCGTTATCAACGTATCCGAATTATCTAATCCAAACAGCAAGATAAGAAAGTAATAAAAAAGACACAAGATTTATTATATTGTTCCTGTTATCAACACATCAAGCGT